CGCGCGGTGGCGGGTCCCGCGTCATAGTGCAAGGGGGCGGCGGGCGCAAGAACACCGGCGTTGGCGACGGCCACGAAGGCAGCAAACACGACAAACTGCAAAAGAATATTGGTAAAATCTCTATTCTGTCTGTTTTACGAGAGAACTTGACAATATCAAATTGATCTTGATTTTACATTTCGATGTGCACTTGAAATTTGCGCGAGGAGCAATTCCTATTGAGGTGCACTCGCGAATTTTACTATTATTACGAAAGCGAATTCCAAAAAGTAAATCTTTATTTCAAGAGCACTTCGAGTGTACAACAAAGTTTAATAAATAATAGATTTTAAACACAGTCTAACGGATTTGGAAAATCCTCAGCGTTTGCGATCCTCTACCCACCTTGAATGCCATTCTTGAGTAGATTTGGTTGGTTTGGATCGACCAAAGCAAGACTGATGATGTGCAATGTTGATCGCGACCGCTTTATATACCCGGTGGTCTGGTCCACCACTGTATGAATCCCCACCGTCGATCTTAGTGTCGGACTTTGAAAGTTCGTCGGCGTTGACTGCCGACCGCACTTGAACTTGGCCGGCACTTGCAATCGCGCACCCTCGCTCCTGATAGTTCGCGGACACTTGAAAGGATCTATCTCAGCAATTTTTTAGGCGAAGACGGAAGTAGTTCCAAGTGACTTTGGTATAATCGAATTATGACAATTCTGGTTTTTCTCATTTCGATACCATGCACCATGTACCATGTGAATGAGACAAAGAGAATGACATTTTTTTAGGCATACCTTATTAACTGAATTGTGTAAAGAGTTTCGTCAATTTTATACTATAAAATGGGATAATTTTCGTCCAGACGAGACGAGCTTTTTCAAAATCCAAATTTAAAAAAAATCTAGATATTTAAATGTTTGTCTAAAATCAGGACATAAGATATTATATCTCGATTTTAGGAATTTACTCCATTTTACAGTATAAAATTGACGTATCAAACGAGTAATTATAACAACAATAATCAATTTCTTAATTTGGGATGGAATATAAAAATTACAGAAATAATTTTAATTTTCTTATCTCGACATTAAATTCTTCATTATAGAATTTTTTATACTATTATTGCATTATTAACTAAGCAATAAAAAGTTGCTCTTTGACAGCAAAATAAAAAAATAAAAAGTATTATTGCTACTTTTTTACCGTATTAACGAATTTATTCTATTTATAAAACAAATTCGAAAAAATATAAATCGCAATACGCGTTTATTTATATCAATCATTCTGCGTTTATTTCTTGGAGGATACTGCAAATCAATTCATTCGTTTCTTTTTCATCTTTCGGCATAACTTTTTGCGTCATTGTGCAATATCCCTGTTCTATACATTACTGACCCTGCCAAATTACGCTTTTCGTACGCGGTCCTTGAACGAGACGCCGATTTCTCGAAAGACATCAGTCGAGAATGGATTAGAAAATTTAAATTATAATACAGATTTCCAACATGATATGAGAGAAAGTTTGCGTCATTAGACTCAGCAAAAAATAAACTAAGAATTCAAAGCCATCGGGATAAGAGTTAATGTATAGATGTGTTTGATCGTCAAGTTGATCGTCATGTCAATATGTGACAATTCTAATTTTATTCTTAGAATGTGATTTTAATAATTCAGCAGGTACAATAGAGATATTTAAAAAAATATTATTACGTCCGTGTACTCCCATGGTTTTTGAATCCATTCTTCAAATTATAGTCTGCGGCTTGAACATTCTCTATTTACATTATTTAAATATATGACAAATTACAAAATTTGTTAAGTGTGAGAGTAAAAATTTTATTGTTTCTGTTAAAATTGATATTAATTAATATTATAATAAATAATGTTTAATTCTGTACATTCACACATTTATAACTTTATAAAAAATAAATACAACAAACAAGAAAATAATAAAATTATAAATATTCTAATTTTATAAGTAAATGAATGATTACAAAATTATAATATTTATAATTTCATTTAATAAAAATACAATAGATTTATGTGTATTGTATTTATTTTTATATTATATTTATATTATAGCGCGCCTTTCTTCCTACAATATGTTGTAATAATGCGATCCCGATCTGTCACGACACATTTGGCAAAGACACGTAAATCGGAATGGCTTGAAAGTTTCTACAAAGGAACAATAATTCCTTCATTATAATTATGATCAATTGTTCCGGGATATTTGATATCTTCCTACGCACAAGAGATAGTGTCGGAAATATGAAAATCATGAATATACATATCGTTCGTCATTGTCGTGAAACTTTCAAGCCATTCCGATTTACGTGTCTTTGCCAAATGTGTCGCGACAGACCGGGATCGCATTATTGCGACATATCGTCTAACGTCGTCGGGGCCCGTGCCAGAGAGAAAAAGAGAAGTGGAGCACTTTCATAAAGAAGAAATAGGTGGGTCGCCCGAATATCGCGCGTTCGGGGCCCGTGCCCCGAATCGATCGCAAGCCCGCGGGCATTATCGGCCAGTTTTGTGCTGATCGAGGTTCGAGATTTCGCTCGTCATCGTCGTTTTTGTCGTCCATTCTGCTGACTGATCCACTGCCCACAAGATCCGTGTGAAATCGTTATTTTATCCACAATTTAAAGAGAAAATCGAGGGTTTCAATCCGGGACCAATATCTGAAAATTAACAATTGAAACACAAAGAAGCCGAAAATTTTGAACGTACGCGCGATCAAAGAAGAGACTTTTGGAAATTTGAAATATGTTTTGCATCAAGCAAATCGTTTTTGCAGTATTTTTCGGATATAATCTTTTACAGATTTTAATTTATGCTGTGAATGAAAGACTACACACAAATATAATTATATTTGAATTATACAAATTATTGATTATGAATTTTTTCTTTTGAATGTGTTGTTCAGAAAGATATGTTGAAAAAGATTTAATTAATAAAAAAGAAGAAAGAATTCAAGTCCTCTATTTTCAATATAATAAAAGAAAACATCAAATGTGATAAGGAATGATAACGTAATGAGTAATATTATCAATTAATTTAAAATGCAATCTTACGATATGCGATTGCATCGTCGCATTGGATACGCAGTTAGCAACAAATATGTTGTAATAATGTTAACGATGTATAAAATGCATGTGATGCTTCTCCATAAGAAGGACAATTAACGAGGTACGAACATAAATTCATTTGGCGTAAAGAAAGAAAAAAAAAGAAAGGAAAAGAGACCTGTTGGCTTTGATTCAGCCGATTATGGGAACGATCGAAGGTCGTGCCAGGAAGTAAATGCAGTGAATCGGCAGTAAATTACATACCGGATGACCCGGACGTTGAAATCGAGCTTGCCTTCTTAGGAACAACGCTTTGATCCGGATCCCTGCGGCGCGTGTCAATTATCGGAACAAGTCTTATTATAATTTCAAGTCAAGCCGCTTGCATTATCGCGACTCAAAATGTATGTTTTATTTATATATATTAAAATTAATGACCTTCGCTTCTCTCAACATGAAAAGATCATACGCGCATCTTTCACTTGTACCAGCTTCGAAAAATGCAACAAACATCGCGATATGTACGTACAATTTTAATATAATATGCAATATTGAGTACCAGTCCACTTAATGTAAAAATAAAATGCTTATGTATCAAAGCATTCGATTGACCAATCAGAAGAATTTTTATTGATTAATTTATTTATTGAATGCTTCAAAGTATTTGCAACACTAAGTGGACCGCAACTATTTTAAATAGGCTAATATAATCATGCACACATCGAGATCTCTCTTTATTATTTTATCTGATGTGTATCATCTTTCTTCAATAAATATTAAAATCCCTAGCAAAAACTAATTAACAATAACATAACACATACTCCAGTTTCGTTCTACAAGATCGTGTTTGAATTAAAAATTGTAAAAATTCGTACAAAAATATTATAATATTAAGCATCAAGACTCATCTTGACCGAATATGGCCTTCTTCATTCATTTGTGTTGAACATTTCTCGGTTTTTACTTTAATATTATTTAATAATATAACTGTTAGTTATAATTTTCCACTCAACAATAAAACTGTAATATAATTGCAACAATTATATGAATGAAAAATTATAACCAACAGCTGTTATTATTAGTTAGTATTTGCTGGATCGATATAAATACTTCATACATTTATTACGAGTTATAATTTGCAACTTGTGTGTTGCAGGTATGTATAAAGTTTGAAATTAGAATTAATTGTATGTGAAATTAAATTATGTAAATTTCCTTTAATGTTTTATGTTCCGATTTCCATATATTAGAATTATTACTTCCGAATGGAGTTCGCTCTCTTATTACATATACGCGTTAGCTAACGTGCGTTTCGTGAAGATTACAATCCATCAAGCTTCAAAATTACGAGACAACGTGTTTCGAAACGATTCGCATAATTATCTGAACTGGTGATACCCGGGTAGGCGGCCTATGTATCCATTAACTTCTGGCCTGAGTACTGATCGACACACTATCGCTGTTACTCACGCAAGTTGATGCAAGTAGCATCATGTCACTTTTTATTGCACAGTACTATGCAACTTGTCACATCGATTGCGTTCCGTATTACGAGGGAATGCTTGGCAATTAAGATTAAATATTTAATCAAGAGTATCTGGCTATAATATTTTTGGTTTCAATTGTCAAAATTACTTATGAACTCTATTCAGCAAAAAAATTATTTTACAAAATTATTTTACAAAAAAAAAAACATGTATATGCTAATATAATTTTTAAGCAAATGAAATAATCATAAAAAAAACACCGTAATATAAAACACCGTAATATAAAAACTTCAATAAAGATCAGAATATCCAAACCAAATGAGTAATGGAGAATTAAGAAAGAATTCTTATTTCGCGCGGCATTAAAGTTACCGATCAGAGTTAAAAAAAAATTTGCGAAGAGAACAAAATGAGAAATGAATTCTGAGAAAGTTTATAAATAATGAGCAGATCTTCATAGATCCGACAGTTTTCATGAAGAGGAGAGAAGTTATGCTCTATATATATAAACCAAGACTGCAAATATAAGTATGATATAAAGAATATAGTATGATATAAAGAAATACTTTATAAAAATATTTAGTTGTATTCGCTCGTTTACGTGCGATTATGTAACTGAAAGTAAAAAGATCGCACTTAAAAATCTAAAATATTTTTATCGAGTCTGCAAATTGACATCCATACTTTTGCATCAGAAAACAATCTTATTTTATGTAAAAGGACGTACAATCTTTAAAGAAGAAAAATATTCCTTAAAATATGATGTTTGGAGCCTTTCTGATGGAAAGTCTTGAAATATAAGAAATATAAGTATTACAAGGTCTTAACGATCATGGACAGATAATCAATATCAGTGCGCGAGATCATTTTCGTATAATTATTTTTGCATTACATTAATCATTTTATTCTATATTAAGAATCCTACAAATTGTATGGATTTTCGTAATTTACTGACAAAACTCATCAAATTCACAAAAGCATACGTAAGAAAAGAAAAGAAGAAATTTGGAGAAAAATAAAGAGTAAAAGAATAAATGCTCTGTAATAACCTTTGATGGAACAGGCGAGTTGAACGGAGGAGGATCAGGTAACTTGTGGCAAGGACGTGGCCTAGTCCCCGACGATGACGACCGGTGTTCGTTGGTCCTTCAAGATGCGAGAGCAGGGGCCCGATCCGATCCCGGCTCGTCGCTCTCATTGGGCGTGGTCCGATTTCTTGCTCAATTTTGCGCTCTTCGCGACCGCGAATCAGGTAGCCGTCGAAGGTACCGTCACCCAGTTACATCAGTGAGCGGGTACAATTTAATATGTGTGTGTGTGTGTGTGTGTGTATGTGTGTGTGTGTGTGGCGGTAATGTGATGTGATGTGGTGTGGGCTTCCAGGGCTCCCGGCAGAGTGGTATAAAAGCCGAAAACCATCTATCCATTGGTATCATTCGCATCAGACTTGCAAGATCGAACAAACTACCTGAGCAGCAATGGCTTTCAAGGTATTACATCCTTTTGAGTCCTTCTCGACATAAATTCAACCCACGCCGGGAAAGTATTGTTTTTCGGTTGATCCTCGATAATTCTCGTCGGTCTCGTGAAGTTCTTCACAATGCAAAGTTTATTTTTGATTGGGTTCTCCGTAATTACAATTCGAAAATAATAACGGTGATATCTTGTGATATCATTAATCAATATAAAAAAAATAGAGCAATTAACGATATTTGTGGGACGACTCAAAAGTAGCACATTTAACATTTTCCTACATAAATTCCGCAACAACTTTCACGCTACAAGTTTCTTCATGAAGTCTTTTATATCCCCCTTTAGATCGGATGAATTATTGTTTGCATTTTAAATTAAAATTTTATTACGAAGAGATTGGCAAAAGTGCATTATTAAAGTGCAAAATGCAAACGATGTTTATCATGATTTTCACTGAGTTATTTAATTTATATTAGTTAATATATTCTTTTCATATTGTGCACTGTTGTATCAATTCTGTATATCTATATATCTATCTATATGTTTTATATTCCTATCTAATTCTGTATTTCCAATTCTATTATAGTGACACTTTTCTTCCCAATTTTATTCGATTTATTTGCTACGTTTTTTCCTCTAGTTTATCGCTTTCGCCGCCCTGATCGCCGCCGCCAACGCCGGTATTATTGCGCCTGGTGCCCCTCTGGCCTATGCTGCGGCTCCCGCGGTTGTAGCCGCCCCCGTTGCCAAGGCCGTTGACGCAGACTTCGACCCGCACCCACAGTACAGCTATGCGTACGATGTGCACGACAGCCTGACTGGCGATGACAAGACCCAGCAGGAGACCCGTGATGGCGACCTCGTCCAGGGTAGCTACTCCCTCTTGGAAGCCGATGGCACCAGGCGCATCGTCGAATACGCTGCTGACCCAGTCAATGGATTCAACGCCGTAGTCCGCAAGGAACCCGCCGCCGTTGCTGTCAAGGCTGTCGCCCCGGTCGCCGCACCCCTCGCCTATGCTGCCCCGATCGCCAAGATCGCCACCCCTGTGGCCCACACCCCTCTGGCCCCTGCTCCTCTGGCCTACGCTGCCCCGATTGCGAAGATCGCCGCCCCCATAGCTCACGCTCCCTTCGCCTATACCGCACCGATCGCCAAGGTCGCCGCGCCCGCCGCCTTCTCCTACGCCGCCCCCGCTGCCTACCTCCACTGAACTGTGACCTGACCACCACTTAGGAATGATACTTATCGAATAAATCTCAGTTTTTGTAGCAAGTACATATAAGTCTTACGAAATTATCTTCGCCAATCTACAATGTATTTTCGTTAATTAAGCTGGACTTAGAAAAAAATCTGATTTAAATTGCGGGATTAGCAGCTGCGTTTCTTAGAAAGAGTACTTTTTTAATATATATATTAGAATCCATTTTATCATGCTGGAGAAATATCTTTAGCTATCTTTTTCTCGATGCGTGTGTGTATATTTTTCAATCATTTAGAATAAGATTTGGAATAATTGTGTTTTGAATGTTGTAATAATCATGATTTTCTCACAGAATCATTTTTTATTCGTAGTTATTGCTTCTTCCTAATTGTCATTATTATTAAGCTCTCAATGTTTAAAACTACTGAAAACGCAAAGTGTTGCAAAGTCTATTTTCCTCTTTATCGAAAATTACTCGAGCGAGCATCCATCAAACTCGGTAAAAACTCCATTATTCGGCATTTTCAAATTGGAATTGATGCTGTTTTCACGAACGACGAGCCCTGAAATTACATAATTCGGGAGAGACATGTGCACTCAAATGTTTAAACGCGAGTAATCGGCATAACGTAACATAATATGTTGTCCAATTTGCTGAAAAAGGAGGTAAAAAACTACATTGAAAGTTGTCGAGGAAACGTCGAATTCGACCGGGCCCAATTAGTGAAATTAGGTCAGGTACTACCTGCCGCGGACTCACCGGTGTTATCTCGTCTTTCCGTGACATTACCGCATTACCGATTCACGAGCGCTCGCTGAGCACTTTCTCCAACGAAGTGCCAGCATACGGATTACATAACGTCGATTACCACGCCTCGTCCAGCCAGCCCGACACACGCACCGGCCAGTCGACTCACGCGCATCGCATGTAATACGCGCGTAATGCGTAAAGGCGTGTTGCGTTATAGCCGGGAACCGTGGCCGGACCAGATTCGCGCAATGCCGTGCGAACCTTGATCTACTTACCGGTCTGGCATGGCCCGCAACGCGCAATGTTTCGTGCGTACCTCGGTTCTCTCGCCCACCTCTGGCCATTCTGGATATCCAGCCTGTTTTGGCAACGAGAATCAAATCTGGAGAGAAGTCTCTCGCGGATCCTGCGATTAGTTTATGTGGATATGAAATAGTTAACGTCGCATCTAGAAGACTAGAGATATGGGAGCCTGGAAAGGGAAGCAAACTTGAAATTTAAACGAATCAAAATGTTTTTATAAAAATTTATTATCAAAAGAGAAAATCCGCGGTACAATTAAAGGCACTTTACCGTTTCAGTTGCCAAATTCTTATTTCTAAGCAAATGTTGTAACAGCTCTAATAAGCTATGAATAATTTGAGTTACGCAAAGAATATTTATATTGTGCGTATACAAACATATATTCTGAATAATTCCTATCTTTTATGAAAGGTATATAAAATAAATTTAATGACCTTTGCTTTTACGCTTTTAAACAAAGTTTCAGAATTTCTCTTTCAACACAAAACAAATAAATTATTTTCACTTATTGTTAAAAAAACAAGTTTCATACACCTGTGTTAGAATTAAAAATCTTTTTTTATATCATGTAAACATATAAATAATAAACAAAAATCGAACATTTATTGACTCAGGCCCCTTCTTTCTGGTGGTTGTAATCTAGAAAAAAACATATATATTCAAACGCAAAGTTCCTGAAATTTTAAAATTTATTTGAAATTTTAAAATTTAATATTATAAACTTTTATAATATTTAAAAAACTATTCATTATTTAAAACAGAAAAAATACTTATATTTTCTCGATAAAAACTTTTACTTACTGATGAATCGTTACATAATCCTCGGCAAGAATGTGCGACGTATCTAGAGGTGTAAGAAAAGCAAATTGACTTTGTGGGTGTAATCTAGTATGCTCCAAAAGGATATCCATTATTACCCGCCGGTTTACTTTGTCCTACAAACAAGCATACAACATAGATGATTATTTTTTTGTACAAGACAAATTCAGGATATATAGGATCTCAGAACTCGCGTATCACCGATTAACATATTCTTAGTGAAATTCAAAAAGACGAAAAGCTTTCTACCAAAAAGCGATCCGATGAGTAGAATTTAAATGGTGAGATTGAAGTTGATAAATGAGCGCGCGTGGAATTCGACACCAGGGTCGACACAACCGAGACTGGCGCGAGGCACTTCAGACACTTGGCACTAAAAATTGTTTAAAATTTGTTTTATTTAAAAACTGTTTAAAATATCTGCAAATAATTTAAAAATTAAAGATAAAAATTGTTCATAAAACGATAATATTGTTTAAATATTAAAAAGATTTAATAAATATCAAAATTATGTAAGCAACGTTACAATTATTTTGTAATAATTATTTTTTAACGTTACAATAATTATTTATTATTAAAAAGTTTATTATTGCTTTATTATAACAAAACGATTTTAGTATTTAATAAACAATTTTTAGTATTTTTTAACTTTTAATGTATTTTAAATAATTTTTAACTAATTAGTTAAAAATCAAATGCAAAGAGTAATGAGAAACATACTTTGACACGATCCAAGTGTCTGAAGTGCCTCGTACCAATCTCGATTGTGTTGACTCTGGCCGCGCGAATTCCACGCGTGCCCATTCGTCAATTTCAATATTTCACCATTCAAATTCTGCTCATCGGATCACTTTTTGGTATATAGCTTTTCATCTTAGAATTTTACAGAGAATACGATGATAACGGTATACGAGTTCTGAGACACCCTGTATATAAGAACAGCTTACCATGAATACATCAAATTCATCGAGAAAGTAAAAAGGTAACTGAATGCAATCCCATAGAGCTAAGATGAACGCGACAGTCGAATAAGATCGTTCGCCTCCCGAGAGTGATCTGGTGTCGTTGCCAGACTTTTGATCATTCCGTGCACTCACATGCAAATCGAGTACTTTTTTTTGGTGATCGATCACTACAGTGCCCTGGTAAAAAGAAGAAAGACCATTTGTGAATAAGAAAAATAAAATATTTCTAAAAAAAATATTTCTATATAGCTGTATACCTTATATTGTCTTAAAGAAAGCACATCAGTGAAAGACTTTTGCACATAAACACTATACGTATCCCTCAATTGGAGAAACATTTTCTGTCGATGTTTCACTCGTTCGATATGTTTCTGCAAAGCATACAAATATATTGTAAGTATTCCCTTGAATAGTTCATTGTCTGTAAAAATTATATAGGTAATTTACTTACTTCGAAACTTTTTTTCAATTGAGAGGAAAATTCAATGTGCACTCCATACTTTTCTTGTTTTTCCGCTAGTTCTAGCCGTAATTCATCCGCACAACCAAACTGATTTTCTATTTCGCGAATTTTATCTTGTAAATCACTCAGTAAAGTTTTGATTTGGTTTATCGATCTGTAAAAGACAATATATGAAAACAATATAACATAAATAATTAAAATATAAATAAAAATTAAGAATTATGAAATAATTTTAAGTGCACTTTTAATATGGTATCAACAAATAATGCCGACCTAGTAGTGTCTATCCTAGGACATTTTGTAATAGCGACAGAAATCGCTTTCTTTGTAACTCTCTCTTGTATTTCGAATTCCCCCGTTGCGCATTGTATAGCTTGACGAATACCCTGTAATTTTCGAGCAGCACGTTGACACTCGTGCCGATGCCTTTCCTTCTCTTGTGTTATATTTAAATATACACACACACACATATATATATATATATATATATATATATATATAAAATATTACTTATGATTCTACGTTAATAGATATTAATTATTATATTAATGAATAAACATACTTTAAGAGGATCAACAACTATATGTAAATTATGCCTCAAGTCCCTGCAACGCTTAACTTCCATGTCGAGAGATTCAACGTTCTTTTGAAGTTCTTGCACATTCTCTGCTAAAAGTTTTTCCGCGGCACTTTCATGCGCTACCTTCTTTTCTATTTCCGCAGCTTCGTGTCGCTATTAATAATAAATTAAATCATGTAGCTATATTGTTTTAGAGAATAAAAATAGTACTACTTCAAAATATTTCTAATTACTCACGAAAACATCAACAGAAGTGCCTTCAGTCGACTCAATTTTATCTTTCAATTCATTAATCAAATTAGTACATTCACTTTGCGCGGATCTTAGTTTGCGGACTGTTATGCTTACGTTAGTCAATTCGGAATTAGTACGATTTAGTTTTTCACGTACAGTGTTATATGCTATGGTAACGTCTTGCTTTTTGTTTTCCGCTATCTGAAGTTCTTCTTTTAGCGTTCTAAATGAAAAATTAATAAAATTATTAATAATTGCATTAAATTTTTTTTCATATACAGCATAAAATTATTGAGTTTAAATTAGAGTTTACTATTCCAAATTAGATTAAGTTGTGGCACTTACTGCATTGCTTCCATGGTAGAAACTTGAAGATATTTAGCACGTGTACAATTTCCGCCGTAAGTTCTATAATTTGGATCGGGAAAGAATGTGTCACCATGAAGAGTAAACGCTCTTTTGCAATTTTTTGGTACTTTTGTACCATCCGACATTATCGCGCAAGCCTCTTCATTTGTTGGTATAAGAAGTATACATTCAATTTCACGTTGATCAATTAAAGAATTAGCTACGACAGGATCTTCTATAACCATTGCTTCCAAGAGGTTGGAATACTGTGGCGAATATGTACAGTGATGTCTAACATCGTGCACCTGAAAATTTAAGATTTAAGTCCGATTGTATCAACGTTACTTTGACTTTAAGCGAGAATTAAAATTTTCTCTTTTTAAAACCGAGAGACACAAAGGAAGAGTTTTAAGCCTCGTTTAAAGTTAAAATAACATTAAAATTGATGTTATCTTAATTATGCACATTATCCAAATTAAAATTAGCATTCTTAATTGCTATTTGTTACACTTGCTTGTTTTTCTCACTTAAGAAGTTAATGGAAATATTAAATATTTATATATTCATTTCTATCATTCTCTCAATAAATACTTTAATTTCAAATAATAAAAATTATGTTCTATCAAATAATAAAAATTATGTTCTCTTACCTGATTAAAGAATTTACTACATATTACTTGAAGAGTATTCTCATTGTAAAAAATTTCCTTCATAATACTGTTCAACAACTTGGCATCCTGACTATTATCCACACAGAACGAGTTAAGGGTGCCAAAACCTAGAAAACTTTCTACAGCCGGTGCCCAAGCGGCATCCTTCAATTTTATAAAAGCACCTGCATAATCATGTATATATAACTTAATAAAATAAAACTAAGCCTTAACTTCATACAATAATTAATTAATTTCAAAATAAGTTTACATACCAATAGGGCCACGTGGTTTTTTCTTGAATCGGTTTTTCTTATATTCCTCTTCGATTCTCTTCAACAAACGCGGTACATTTGGCCCAAATACACTCAATGCATTATCGGATTGTTGCTCAACAGCGCTTAAATCCTTTTTGATCTTTTCTTTAATTTCATAAAATAAAATGCATTTTTTTACACAGCCTAATTATAGAAATCACTAATATTACTAATGTTTTAATATGACTTACGTATATGTCTATCAAAATTGTCAATTTCATTTTTGGCGGACGTCACATCTTGCTGAAGTCGCATTCTATCGGCCTCTAAATGCATTAATTCAGTTTGTTTAGTGCGTAATGAAGCATCAAGTTCATCCAATTTCTCCTCCAATTTTGATAGGCGCTCTTTCATTTCTTTTTTCTTGTTATATTCTTCATCATTGCAGCTGTAAAGACATACTTAACATATATTATAAACATAAAAGAACATGAAAATAGAATATTATTCGGAAATATATTCTTACCTTTCAAGCTTTTGAATTTCTTTCTTCACCAAATTAGCATCATCTTCTAATCGTTTTATTTTGCTTGATACAGAACGCCATTCGCGCTGTTTACTTAAATACGCCTCATTTGCAATCTTATGTTTCTGTTTTGAACTATTATAAGCTTCGTTGCTATCTATCGCTTCCTGTTCTGCTTGCTGAATTTTTTGCTTTATTTCTCTATAAAATAACAAAAACATCGTAAGATATAATTTATATCTTATCTTCTCTATAAAATAAAAAAATATGAGATAAGATGTAAGATAATTCACAGCTTTTGCAATAAATGATGTATACTATAAATGTTAAAATTAATTAATAACTTCTGAAAGTAAATTATAATTCAATCTCATTTCACATAATTTTTTCATTTATAAATTAATTCTTACTCAATATTTTTATCAATTCCTTCATCTTTTTTCTCTGTAGACAATTCTATATTTTGGAGCTCTTTCAACTTATCTTCGTGCATCTTTACAGTATTCTGTATTTTATTAAGTTTTGTTTCCTCCACAATCGCCTAAATAATAAAACTATTATTCCAAAAATTACTTTGCTAATTTCTATTTTCTTTAAACTAAGACTCACTGTAGCCCAATGAAGTTCCATTTCGAGATTAGATAATTCTGCTCGTGATTCGTCCATTTCCTCTAATCTATGTATACTTTCCTTCAATTTTTCAATTTGTTTCTTTTCTTGTGACAAGGTCTGACACATAATAAAAAATGAGAATACTTGTCTACAATAAGCTTAAATAAATTTAAAATACATACCGCATTATATTGCTGTAACTTATCGTATTCTTCTTCACATATGTTAAGAGCCTCTTTATAATTAATTTCAATAGAATCTAAGAGAGTAGCTTTCATGAATAGACTATACTTTTCCTCAGGCTTAGAGGTAACTAAAAATGTTCTTGAAACGTCCTGATTCAATACAGATATTGGATTATCGATTTGTATATTCATCATTGATATAATATTGTCCAATTCATCTCGTTTCGTAGAAATAATTTCTCCTGCAATGATAAATTTCTGTAAGTACATACAAGATTACAATCATTTGTATCATTTAAAAAAAATTATATTTCAACTTTCAAGTACCTCTCCAATTTTTAATCTTATATGATGAGGTAGTTCCAATGTTACGTAAAACTGTAATTATGTTGCCATAAACTTCAGGCTTGTAAGCAGTGTCTCCTTTATTTACTAATGTTATCTCAATAATAGCCGAGTTTCTGCCTTTTTTTACAAACTCTAAATTGTCATAGCAAACAATATATTATTAAATTATTCTATAATATGTAAAAGACAAATATATAAAAAGACAAATTGTAATATAATAACCTTTAACAGAAGTTCCCCTGCTCGTAACATTTGCCCTAGCACCAAGTCCTACAGTCAATGCAGTCAATATGGCACTCTTGCCACTGCCATTTTGTCCCACAATAAAGTTAACATTCTCGTTTAATGTTATTTCCAGTGCATCGTGACACATGAAGTTATGAAGACGAATCTTTTTCACCTTTCCAGCTGTATACTATGATATATTTAAAGTATTTAAGATATGTATTTCGAAAATTACAACTCTGAATAAAACTGATTAGCTTATTTGTACTAAAATCACATATTTAATACAAGGTGATTATGTTTTTCAGATAGCTAGAATAATTGTTGGATGCTTTCCATTTAGTAATACAAGTCAATACAAAGATCATTCTATCTTTCTTGACCAGTGAATAACAAAGATAGAACAATACTTATATTGAACTGTTCACTTGTGTTATCAAATGGGAACCATCTAGAAACCTAGGATTTTATAACCTTAAAATAATCTACTCAAGGATTATTTGAAGTAAAATTGAATGAAGTAATTAATGTTTCAAAGTTTAATGTCTGATTTTATATTTTTTGATTATTTGGGATAATTGTTGAGTGCTTTCTATTTAATGACACAAGTAGACACATGTGTCATTCTGTCTTTGGCTTTCTTTTTAGGAGATAAACGGTCAATAAATATCCTACTATCCTTCTTGATTCAATGAATAATAAGGATAGAACAACCGTGGGTTGACTAATATTACCGAATGAAAAGCATCCTGTTACTTATTGAATGTCAAAGTAGAATGGCATTTGTGTCAACTTATCACTAAATGAAAAAAACCCATTATCGATTAGCATGAGGTACCTCTTCATTCTGCACCGCATCATCCTCGATTTGTTTGGAACGTTTGGCCTGGTGCTCGTAAGACTTCTCTGTCGTTTTCCTCCTTCGAGTCCTCTTCGCATCGTTTTCCATACTTCTCGTAATGTAAATCGATAGCGCATTTAAACAAAGAGCGATCGCAATCCCGTATCAAATCCTATCTCCGTGACGCCTCTCTTGAAATACGGACTGTTTTGCAAGATTCCGCCGTCTATCCGATCGATCTCCTAATAGTGAACTTGGAGTTTGTCAAGAGATTCACCTGTTCCATATACTTCAGTATCTGTCAGTAATCTCTTGCACTGGACACAGAAATAATCGAAAATCGAAATCTATGCGAGCACTATTCCTATTCGTTTTAACAAATTCCTGTTCATTCCTGTTCGTTCCCGCCAGACCGTTGCAGATTGTTCTCTCTCTCTCTCTCTCTCTCTCTCTCTCTCTCTCTCTCTCTCTCTCCCTCTCCTTTATTTAAATGATGTCCTTGAACTGTATTCGATATTCCTAAACGCATCTCGCAGTGCTCCGCGCGCTGATTGGTCGATTCCGCATATGAATCTCGAATCAAAACAGTGAATCAACCAATTACAGTCAAGTATTTCCCTGTATAATCAAACGACGGGAATACTCGATTGTAATTGGTTGGTTCTTATATTCTGATCCAGTTTAAACCTTCGGTGGAAACTAGGCCAATCAGAATCTTCATTCCTCCCAGTCATGGAAAAAAAAATTTCGATTGGTTGATTCTTTTATGCACTGTGCATTATGTAAGAGTCTGTGTTGCGGCCATTACATAATGCATAAAACATGAGGCATAAGAAAATCAACCAATCAGAATCCTTTATTTCACAGAAAGAAAGGAAATAAAGCACTATGATTCCGACGGATTTATCGGATGTCGTTAGTCGTAAAAGATGGGACCCGACCAATCCAAACGACGCCCAGCAGTCGACATCGACAGCCGACATGAAAAATAAAGGTTATGCGCATTCACACAACATACGACGTCTCCCGACTGATTGTAGACCAGGCCTTAGACATATGCATAACAAAAATTATTTAATAACATTTTACATGTGTCTTTATAAGATAAATGCGATTGGATAATTTTCTTTATGCATATGTTTATGCGGCTGTACAAATTTGTGTGGATATATCATTAAATATAAGAATCAATTATGAATACCGACCTAAGTCCGGTGAAGTTCGACGAAATCCGATGAAATCATGAATTCCTCGAAGTAAATATAATAAAAATGAATTCTGGTGAAGTCCGACAAAGTTCCGATAAATTCCGGTGAAGTCCAGTGAAGTCTTGAAATCCTAACTCCAATTGTATACCTATTTTCTAAATGGTTACTTTCTCAAAATTTGTTCATTTTTGTAATTTTCATCTCATTTCGAGATACAGAATTGATTCTCAAAAGATGTTGTTCACTGCGAGTACTGAAAATCTATAATTCACGTTACATATACCTGTAAATTTTCAATACTCTCACAGTGAGTACTAAAACCTAATGATAAAAGTATAGAGTCTTATGTAACGCATAACATATATATTATAAATGCCTAAGAAAACGAATCGATCAAAAAGCTAGAGTACAGGCCTTTGCATAACGCATAATACATATAAAGCATAAGAAAATCGATCAATCATTCTTTCATTTTATGGAAAGGAAGTAGATGAAGGATTCTAATTGGTTCAGCTTTGTTTAATTATTGTAAAATTCTTTAATACAATTAATTCTTGCTTTAGTTTTTCACTGGGCTTAAATGTAAATAATTAATTATATTAATCTTACAATAATTGCAAAGCTGCTTTTTCTGTTGAATACCAGTAATATAATGAAAAATATGAAGATTTGTCTCATATTCTTCCGAAAAAATATTTTTCACATGTACATATTTTTTTTAATTACATTTTCATTTTAATAATAATGTTATTTTATATATGAAGAAAAGTTCATGAAAATGAAAATTAATATAGTAACCTTAATTAACTTAATTGATAATTAATTCAATTAAAAAGTAAAATTTGTACAATGTACGTATAATTCATCGTTTCTGATCTAATCTTTTCCTGCATGAAAAATATACATTTTTGTTAAAAAATAAAAAATAATTATTCTTTCTATTTAAAAAAAAATTTAAAAATTAATAATTCTATTATATTTAATATTTATATTTTTCTATTTAATTCCATATTATTAACAAAACATATTAGTACAAAATTAATTGAAGTCCAAGTATTGCTCCAAATTAAAAATACAGAGATTGAATAATTCAATCTTATTAAAGAGAGGATCCATTGAAGGGGTTTCGCTTTTTGATCATTGGGGTCGGATCTGTGAGGCGTGTAATATAGTAGCACCTGTCGCACCACCTGTTACACTGCGTCATTACAACCGCGTTCCAACATTCCAGTCGAGCGCGGAGAAAATGATGAACGCGTGAGTATCGTACGTATAGATTCACTTCGTATGTGACGTATGTATGTATGTCTCACTCGCCGCTTTCACTCACTCTCACTCCACGTTCATGAACTCCATTCGGCATCCGAAACTACGCCACCGCGCAGTGCCGGATTTATTCTTGTCACGACCCCTGTCGCATAAATGTAACCTTGAAGTCGTATTCTGTATTTTGGAAGTGAAAATGTGAAAATTTCAAAAGTGAGCATATTTATAAGGTTACAGCATTGATCAATAAAATTATAAATGTTCTAACAAATTCTCACTTTTGTAATTTTCATCTCGTTCAAAATACGAAATTGACTCTTCTCTCTCTCTCTCTCTCTCTCTCTCTCTCTCTCTCTCTCTCTCTTTCTCTCTCTTCCTTTTAAAGGAACTTAATTTATACCGAATTTTATTTTATTTTATTCCCGAAAAATAAATAATTTAGATACTTTGCTAATTACGTCAGATGATTTCCAAGCTGTGAAATTTGTTGAATTGCGTGAAGTGATAATGATTTGATTCCTAAAAAATTAAAAGGTCACTTATAGCAGACTAGTAACTACGATTTATGAGCGGAATAGAACGATTCTCTCTCTTTCTCAGATCATTCTTTCAATTTTTTTATAAACGGCACAACGGATAAAATTTGCATTATCCATTCTAGACTCACGTTGTGACACGTGGCGCATCATCTTGATATTTCGAGAATAAAACAGAGTCACGAGAATCCTTTGACCTCGCAGAAAAGCCTCGACGTCATCGAGCCCGCGACTCCGCGCGAATAAATCCGCTCCTGGCTGCTTCTGGTCGCGTTGCATCTCCTCCCACCATACGCAGCCCCCGCGTATTGGTCGCAGTCCCTTTAAAATTTGAATCTCTGTCGGTTACTGAGTCTTGTCGCAACTGTACTTTGTGCGAGTAGTGCAATTGTGTATCCGTCTTGATTTGGTTGGGCAATCGTTGGGCAATCCGAGGCGAACCCAGTGAACCCGCGAATCCAGGACTCCAGGACCATACGAAGACCGCAACGACTATCGGTGTAGGCGGGCCACCTGTTAATTTCCACGAGGATCGTGGCGTGAGGTAAGTTCAAGAGACAACGTAACATCCTTGAACAAACAAAGAGAAGGGAGACTGGGTCTTTTTGTGACTTTGGAGCGCATTTAAAATCCTACTCGAATGCTCCTCAGGTATCACCTTATCGTTAATTAACATTCAGCAAACAACAAGAATAAAATGACCTGAGTATTCAAGGTATTGAAAATTTGAATATAGCTCCGATTGATCTCATTGTAGTGCAGATCAATATCTGGCTATGAGCAATGTCGGAGACGAGCGGAGATAATGCCAAGTACAAGTGGACACCTGAGAGCACTGCGCTACTCGTCTCGGTGTGGTCCGACCGGCAGGTACAGAAGCAGCTTGAATATGCTCCCCGGCCACAGGTAATCTGGGAGAGCGTAGCCCGCTACATGAAGAAAAAGGGCTACAATGTCGCGGGTAAGCAATGTCGGTCGCGTATGAAGCAAGTCTTGGTGTGCTATCGTGAGGCCAAGCGGGCAGGCACTCACGATTGCGTGGAACAATACTATGAGACCGTCGACCGGGTACTGAAGAGCAAGCGTCTGGAGCATATCGACATCAATGGTGTGGACACCGTGGGTGAGTATAGGAATTGCTAGTTGTAGAACAATTTAATTCAAAACTTTAAAATATAACAAATATTTAATAACGTTTTTGGCCTAAACAGATTTATATCAACCTAGGTTGGATTAATGACATTGTATGCTCTGTTATTGCAGCATATAATGTGCATAGGGAATAAGTTAATATTACTTCTGATTGTTCTTAGACTCAACTGTGAAGTCACCACCAAAGGATGTAAAGACTAACAAGAATTTACAGATGAGACTGAAAGTTCAGGAGCCTGTGCAATCTCTCTTTCGAACGAACGCTCTGTCCCCCACGTGGGCGATGGGATGTAAGGCATTTTGTTTTATCGTGGAGAATTTTATTTATCTAATGTTAGATTTTATGATCTTTTTTTCTTTGCAGATGAAAATGAATATCCAGAGTCACCTGAATCCAACGAGACTATAATAGCCAAGCCATACAGAGTCTTTTCTCCTACGAGAGACGTTGCCATAAACACTGGCGAGCGTTTCACTCAGATTGGCAATCAAGCAGTACAGACAAATCCAATTGTGATAGAGAAGCCGATACGAGAGGACTATCAGCAAAATTTACTATCGCCTTTTTCATACGGAGAGGTTCCTTATCAAAACGCAGTGCAGAATGTACAGAATCAAATTATTCAGGAGAACATGCAGCAATATCAGAATATCCAGCAACAAAATTATACCGGATGGAATCAGTTACCACAGCAAAATATATTGGCGAACAATCGACTCGGTTTCCAACAGAACGTGCACAATCAACCATACGTGTCGAATGGAACAATGCAGAGCACTGTGATGCAAAATCCTAATGTAGAGAATATCGCGCGCCAGCAAAATCAGCTGCACCGAAGTATACCATATGCAAATAATCAAGCGATGCCGCAGGAGCCGCGAAAAGTTATTTATGGACAAAACGTGACTACATATAGGCAGTATCAAGATGCAGAACCGCGTCTTACTCGCATGACGAACCTTATTCCAAACGAATCGTCACCGGACTATTCCCCGGACGTTTCTCAAAACTTAAATGATGCTTTCTGCGAGTCGAAGAGCGATGACAAGACACATAACTTAAATGAAACATATAGTCGATCCAATAATCCTACGGCAGATGCAACTGTTCTGACGAACAATGCGACTTGTAACGACGATACTTTACTGCTGGAATTGTTGTTGGATTCACCTACTCCATCAGAGAATTGTGGAAAATCGCGGGATAGTGCTGTGAATACAGATATCGAGCTAGCAATACCGAGCGCACCATTCAGGAAGAAGAAAGCACAGAAATTGGAGCAGCTTGTATTCAATGCGATTAATTCTCAAAATGAAGTCGTCAATAAGGTAAGAATATTATGTGCTTATAATGTTCTTTTTATTAAACTTTATTATACTTGTTATTTTATTTTTTCTTTTCTTTTACTTTTTATTTATATAATATTTTATATTTTTAAATAATAGCTTTAAATAGCTTTTATGTTATTCCAATTTTTTTAGATCTTGGCTGCGCAGAATGACATGGTGACGCGATTTCTCGACGTTGACAGAGATCGGCAAAACAGGCTCGAGAACAGGTTGGATGATTTGTTGAATGTTGTTCATGCTACGGTACTCAATAAAAACGAAACGCCTCCATCACCGTCATCGCCGATGCCGGAAACTGTGATCACTTCCTTACTTCCGCCACCGAAGCCCGGAATGATCCCACCTAAATTGGATCTAGTTCCTCCGAAGCCTTGTCGCGTTCCTTGTACGATTCCGAATTCGAACGTCGAGCTAATCAATCAGAATCCTGTTCTGACTAGACCTGGCGTCGTGTCGCCAATCACTGTCAGTCCAGCAGGCAAGAAGCTCGGCACAATATGGACGAAATTGGGTCCAGTATCCACATCACCGTTCGTGAAGGCTCAGCAGCGACTTGGTTTTCAGCCTGTCTTCAATAATGACGCACGCACAAAATCGTCGGCAGAAAGACGCATTGCTAGGGAAATAGGCGGACTGCGTATGGACATGCGAGGCTTGATCTATGAAACATCGAAGCTGTTGGAGGCAGAGCGTGAACTCGAGGAAAAGATAGAAAACGCGCGGCTAGAACTGAACATGGGCCAGACTTTGACCGCGCGCAGAAAATTGTTCACACAGCGTGAACCCACTCCCATCATGATACTAACTGCAGCTTTTTTGGACACCGAATGTCGCGTATACGAACAAGATCCGCCTTATCATGGCACCTGGAATTCGCGGAAGGAGATACTCAAATACGCGCGACAAGATAACCTGGTAGCCGGACAGGGTGAGAGCTACGAGCGTATGTGTCAATTAAACGCGGCAGTTCGACGTGATTATCTCAATTGCGAACCATGCGATTCATCGACTCCAGCAAAACCATTTAACATTGGCGAGAACGTTAATAACGAAGCTGGGATGCAGAAACAAACCATTCAGCAACTCGCGCGGCTTGTGATGAACAGCGCGAGATGGCGACATTCTGCTCCGCCGAACCAGCAGCAGAATTCAGCCTGTCCTCCAATTCAAATGATAAATAAAAACGTTCAGGATGTCGAGTATAATGTGACCTTCACTGCTCCAAAGGCAAACGCGCCTCCACCTCCTGAACCACAAGGATTTATGAAAGGTTACGTGCAGCAGAAACAAGGCAATCATATTGAAGTAGCTTCTGACGGTAAACCATTGGCAAATGATCTGCGTCAACCCAAATTCCCGATGGGTTTTACCACTACTACTATGTTAATCGCCAATGATCAAAAAAGCGCAACTCTACCGAAGCAAAATAGCGGAGTATCTAAAGGATTGGAATTCAACAATCCAGTGACTGATCGCAAGAACAATGTTCGCTTCATGGACGAAGCATTGGCCGAACTACAGAAAATGTATATCGAGCGTCAGAATAGTGAAATGTCCGAAGCATTATTGCCTTTTGTCATAAGTAATGGTAATAGTGCGATAAGCCTGCAAAATCGCAATTTGATAGAGCGTTATGTGAACGACTTGATATCGAAAAAGTCGACTAGAGACAAAGACACGGACTCAGATAATGATGAAGAATATCTTGACACTACTACTAGTATGCATCCAACTTGCGTAGCGCGTAGAGGCTCACTGACATCAAACGGCACAGCGTCGACAGAAACTGCTTTTTCGGCGAAACTTAAAGCTAATCACTGTAGAATTAGTTAAGCACAGGGTAAGAAATAGAAATATTTTTTATATTTTTTTTCACTTGCGCGATCAGTTTTCTTTATATATAATTGCTCAATTGTGCGTACTAGGTTCCTCATCACTTGTTACTTCATGATACACTTATTGTTTTTCAATCAACATTATATTCTAATAAAAGTAAAATAAATAATGGCCTTAATAGTTCATCACAGAGATGAAAATTTAAGTTAGCGATACAACGTTTAATCCTTAAATACTAGCAAGTAGAAAGCTATATATTAGCAATACTAGTTATATCTTTTCCAAACAGACTTAATTAGATATTGAATCCTTAGAAATCAAAAATTTTGGTAATACGCTCAGATATTTTTCATTTTTTTTTTTTTTATAAAGAGAAAGAAAGATACATAAAAATCAGTTGTTGACTAATTGATTCGATAAGTGTCTAAGTAGATCTTTTATTACTGTTTTTCTCTTCGCGAATTACAATCTTGTTTTTTTTTCTGCTTTTTTGTTACCTTTCTTTAAAATTTTCTATTGCAAATATCTCACCTAACAGTGTCCATATTAAAATTATTTAATTTTGATTCTACTTTAGGCCTCATCTATAATAATCGCTATGTTGCATGTCGCAAGTAGTAGCATCGCAGGAAAAGTGGCATGTTGCAAGAGTGTCGTTAAATGAACATCTACAATAGTCGCAAGGATTGTTTGCAAGCAATTTGACAACAAATTCTATCGCCAAACTTGCTGTGCTGTGATTAGCTGAGCTCGACACGTTTGTCACAGAAAGTTGAAATTGGCTTAACTCCGTACGATAAGAGCTCTTGCGATTGTAACAATCATGCGACTAGAAGCAACACTCCTGCGATATTCTCATACGACATGCGACACAGCCTGTGCGACTATTATAAACGAGACCTTTAATTGTTACCATGAATAGAAGACAGAAATATATCATAAAATGAAAATTTTTTGCTCCTAAGATTATTAAACGAATAATAGTATGTGTGATCAAGTATTTTATAAATTTCTTATTAACAAATTAAAAACAAGAAGATAATATATATGTATATATGTATAATGTAATTAATATCAGAATTTCAGTGTTCAAAAGTTCAAGTGAACTCTTTATACTTTATTTCATTAATTCTTGGATAGCTTCAATCAGTACATTATAGCATCAATTTAATCAATTATTATATTACCATTAGCTTCCTTGTTTTACGTATTCATTCTTCTCAGTTTGTTAAAAAAAAAACAAAGCAGAAAATGAGATTAATTTGAGATGAGAAAAATTATAATAAAAAATTTGTTTAAAGGTTCATTGAATCAATTAGATTCAACAACTAATTTTTAAAATTACTTATTTATACCACTTACCTATAAAGTAACATCTTCTGTCCGTTCAATTGTGTCGGCATCTCACAAGTCTCATCGGTTTTTTCTTCTATCCTTTTATTTATTTTTATTAAATCTTATAAATCAAAGAATTATAATGCCTATGAGAGCCAATAAGAGAAAAATACAGAAGCATATCTTTGATCATTGTCAAACAGAATATAATGCGGAAGTAACTATTATACTTTTGTATGGATTCTATTTCTATTGTTGATTTTTGGAACACTTACAATTTTATTAATACTTTAACATTTACTGAGATTAAAGAACGTCTCTTTATTAAGATGTGCATTGATAGGGAACATCACAAATTACGCTTTTTTATTTAAAGTACCAAATTCAGTCCTAAAGATCAGACTGATATTAACAAATATAATATTTATATCCAAAGTATTAAGGGAACAGCTTTGCAAACTGGAAAACGTTTCATTTAAATACCGATCCATTATATGAAGTATGTCTCAAAACTCTTTGCCTAAAGAAGACGACATATTTACTCAACAACACTCTGTCAGTACACTTTATGTTTCAATCATATATAAATGTATCACATAACACTATGTTCAAATGCATATCAGAGACATTAAAATTAATAACTACATTACAAATTAATAATTTCGCTTCCGATAAATCCAATTCATTCGTGACATTTGTAGTAGATGGAAAACGTCTTTGTGTAAATAAATTATTAATATATATGGCTCTTATAAGCATTATAATTCTTTGATTTATTCTTTGGAGTCAATTCTTTTTATATTGTAAATTTTATAATCTACTATTTCTACTTATATTTGAACCGCAAATATTTCATTAATTTTTCTTCTTTTGATAATAAGATAATTGAATCTTATATAGTCTAGGCTTTGTAATTTTTTCTAATTTTTTGCGAAGTCAAAACTGATGATCAGATTCAAGAGAGGAAATATTTCTGAATATTAAAAACAATATTTTGAGACAAACATTTTCCTAAATCTTTTTCTCTTTCTTTTAAACACTACTTCATTTTATTTGGTCTAGTCTAAGAGTAAAATTATTTAATGTAAGTCAATGCGAGTACTTAAGGATTAATATAGATCTTATTGACAATAATGTAGATCTTATAATAATATAGATCTTATTGATCTACATTACTAATTTAGTTTGTTAACAATAAAATTTACCGATTACGTTATTACCATATAGATTTTTGAGGAATAATACATTCCGTAGAAATATGTTATATTAATGATTTGAATTAAGCATACAGTGCAATGGTATCTGTTGAGACCTTTTATCTATTGTTTTCATGTTATACAATGTTTATTACTCTTGTGTTATATAAGTAATCTATTCGCGTCCACTATGCATATAGTATGCATAATTACGAGTAAATTCATCGATCAAGCAATTCCATAAATATCGCGCAAGATTCAAAGAAAGGAATTTATTACTTACGTATATCGTTAGATAGAATTTTTATGGGAGCAATCTCGTATTTTTATACCATGACCTGGATGAATTTATATATATAATTTCATTATTCTTTGACATACATCGTAAAATTGTATGTAAGGGAAATAAAAATGTTCATCGTCTTCCATTCAATGTGCCAAACTAGCGATGTGATTTTGAAATTGAATTTCATTTATAAACAAATGCCTTATTAATAAAGAATATAATCTATACTTATAACTCTTATTCTTTATAAACATTACATAAAAATTATCAAGAAATTCATCAAAGAGAAAAAACGGTACGAGATATCTTTTTGATATACGAAATAATTTTACACACACACACACACACACACACACACACACACACACACACACACACACACACACATATAGGATGTCTCGAAAGTTTTTTCAATCGCTTTTGTATAGATAGAGCGGACTAAACTCAGTTGAAACGTCCTCTACTATTTTGCAATTTTCGCAATAGTTAACAAGATATTAATTACTAAAAATAGCTAAATATTGGTCTTGAATAATTTTTTACTCAAATACTATCAATTTTATAGAAAAGCTGCAAGAGACAAAAATCATTTATTTTCTTCTCATAAAGTTCTGAGAATTTTTTTAGAATTTTTTCAGAATTTTTTCATACCATATTTTCTTATGTTGGTAAAAATAAGAAAATACTGTACTAAAAAGTTGATAAAAAATTCCGAAAAAATTCTTAGGATTCTATAAGAAGAAAATAAATGATTTTTATCTCTTGCAGTTTTTCTGTAAAGTTGATAGTTGAGTAAAAAGTTATTCAAAATCAATATTTGGTAATTTTTAATAATGAATATCTTGTTAGCTATTAAGAAAATTGCAAAATGGTAGAGGACTTTTTGACTCAGTTTAGTCCGCTCTATCTACACAAAAACCATTGGCAAAAACATTCGGGATACCCTGTACATACATAATGTTTAATTAATGACGATTTTTCAATAATGACTACATTATTTATGACCATATTTATTTTAGTATTTTAGTATTATTTTTATTTATTAAATTTTTATATTATATATTTTGCTTACATAATATGAGTACAATAATAATAATAATAATAATAATAACAACAACAATGAATAACATATATAATATACATATATATACATATATATATATTATATATATATATATATATTAGAGACTTGAGGAATATTTTGCGCCTCTGCCGTCCCCCCATCCTTCTCCCTACACTTAAAATCAAGTTGTAATCATATATTATATAAATACGTTTATTTTATTCAGAATTTATTTTTTATTCTTTGTTACATTCACTTTGGTGAAGTATAGTTTAAATTATGATATTTCTTCTAATAATGTGGATTAGAAACGAGTCCAGAGAAAAGCGGAATTATGACTTCTTCATTCAACAGCTTCGTCGTTTTTACAATATAGTACACAAATGGATGATGTATTACAAATATTTCCTCGAAACTCATAGAAAAAGCCTCTATTACAAAACCTGCAACATAATCATCGGAGGAACTTCATTCTATTTGCGAGACTCCTTCATTCATAGACGGAGTTGACATATCTCTCTTTTAGTATTTAAATATTCAAATATTTAATATTGTATATTAAATATTATACAATTAGATAATGTCTAATATATTTATTATAAATAACTTCTTGCAATATTAATCTCAAAAGAATATTCAATACTAAAATGTGATGATATATTTTAATATTCATATGACAAGCACAATCATAGTACATATAAGGCGTGTGTTAATTAAAACTTAAGTGAAATGTAAATTACAAAAAAAGCCGAGGATTTCTGCAAGAAGTGCATGTAGTGAAGGTAGGCCGGCAATTTACCGGAGAAAGGAGAAGAAGGAGAGTACAAAATGACTTTTTTTTATTTTTTTATTTATTTTGTGCTCTTTGTTAGCATCTTCTTTTTTACAATTGCGAATTGCTCTGTCTATAATCGATAAGGGATCATTTATATGGCCGTAATCGTATGCTATTAGGTGTTGGAATTAATTCGTAGCGTTTTTTAATGAAAGAATGTTATTTATTTCACATGAGCATTAAAAAATACATTAATGAAAGTACTTCCCATCACTTGTAAAACGCTACGAATTAATTCCAACACCTAATATAATTCATGAGAATTGATTAATCACATTCGAGTTCCCCTCTGATTCAATTGTAAGAGAAGAATGCTCGATTGTGATTATGATACGACATACAATTATAGCCAATATAAAAGATTCCTAAAAGTTAAATCTCTGTTATGTGCGCAGTTGTACTGTCATCACAAATATCAATCAGCATTTTAAAAAGTTCACAATTGATTTTTAATCCAATTCTTGGATTCCTTTAGTGTGGATTTCTACACTAAGCTAAATTTTGAGTGTAAAATGCATCACGATTTCACATTATAGTTGTCGGGCCTGATAATTGGTATTGATAATATTAATCGTCGAGCAATGATTTCGAAGTTTTTAAAAGCTACTTCGTCTTTTCCTTCCGAGGATATACAAGATCTTCACATATCAGAATCATATTATATAATTCTGTTATTTGTACATCTCATATTTTATATTGTTATTAACAATGTGTCTACTTGAAATGATTTTTTGAGTCATGTAACATCCATGTAAAATTATTCAGCTCTTTGAAGCGATTGTTGCAATTGAATTCTTAGACTTGTAGACTTCCGACGTTTGAATTAAATGTTTAAGAGAATATATTGGAAGTAACAAGAGAATGAGAGCACAGTGATGATATCATGTGGAAGAGAGAGATTGAGAGAAAAATTATCAAACTTTGTTTAATGATTATTCTTGATTTTTATATTTTTTTAAATGCGATATTATATTTTTCAAGATTACATCGTTTTATATTTTATACAAATTTCCGTTATATGCTCATTACATTTTAAATCAATTAAAGAATGCGAATTCAACCCTTTATTAATCTTTAACAAAATTTTGAAATGCAAATTCGAAAAGCTCAATTATATCAAAAGTAAATCGATTATTTACGAATTTCAACGTCACTGTTTTGTGTCAGGATGCAAGAAACGATTATTAATGATCGTTGCATCGCCAAGTAGCGCAATCATTCATAAGTTCATTGATTATTTTAATAATTTAGATTAATTTTATTTCTAAATCATCGAACTAATTTAATTTACTGACATATCCGGCGAACAACATTACATAAGATTCCTCTCCCCGTTTCGATTGAATAATACCATAGAGGAATGGATGATCAATATGAATCTCTTTGGTCGTCTGGTTGACAATAAAAGAATAATTCACCCACTCGACTTCTGAAACAAATCATTAATTTCCGTAAGGTTTCATTTTCATTTTATTTTTTCGACATCCCATGTATCAAGCTTCGCGCTTTTTATGCACGTTTTTGATTCCTGTAAAGGAAGGCATAGTGTAAATTACTCTCATGCTGCATGCTCTATTTCATATAAAGTTAGTATACTTTCTAAAGAAAGTTAAACAAATGGGAAGTCCCTTGATATAAGGAAATTAAAGGATTACATAGAGGATTACAGGATTCTATCGAAATGTACGTGTGACAATAAATCCGATAATTGAATATAATCAATTTCGTTTGAGTTTCCATCTTTTATAGTTTTTTTACAATATCATTGTGTTAAAATAATGTAAATTGCTGTATAATTGTTTACACTTTTTGTCTTAGTAGATTCCTCTGAAATATTTGACAATTTTATAAGCGCAATTCTTGTTTGGAAGGAATATTCAAAAGTACTCTCCAAGAAAGTACTCTCCAAAAAATTATCTATATATAAATATATCACATGTTTAAAAATAAAATCGGAGTAGTACAGCAGTTCGAGTCACATAGAAATTGCTGTTATTATTATTTATTACTCAGATATGAACATATCAAATTTATACTTTCTTAATTATATTGTACCAAATTTGATATTTTTTAAAAAAACACCACTTCACTTCTGTAAATTATGCAATGGGTTTGATAATATGTCCAACAAACAAATTTACGATGCTATTACTTTCGAGGTTGACGATGCTATAGAGGAATGGATGATCCACTCTAAATTCCAGTGAAGGTTTGAAACTGAGAGCTTCTATCATCACAGCTGAAACAATTTCATTTATGCTGTAAATTCTTTCATTATCGATTTAGTTGCTGGAATATCAAGAAGTTTTGCTGCTTCACATATAGTACGTACTTATTGTTACACATATGAACTTGATGCGTCGCTTGATTGATAATGATGACAAAACATCGTGCAAGAGGGATTTGTATGGCATGAAATGCGATTATTTTGTAATTAATTCAATGATATTAATTTACTTTCGTTAAGAAAACTCTTGAATGCCTCTGAATGTGAAAATAATGCACATTATTGATTCTTTTCCAGTTGCGAAATTATATCGAAATGTACATCACACATCGTTCGTAAATATTAATGATAAACGCAATGTATATCAACTGATTATGTTGTTTACAATGAACTGCATTTGTCACGAAGCAATCTTTCGCCTACTCAAATTTCAGGCTACACGTATTATCCAAAGAAAAGGAAGATTTTATCAAAGGTATTTTTTCTTGTATTTGCAACATATTTGATATTGTACGCAAATGAGCGATTTATCAAAAAGTCATCGGTCCATATTTACATGCATAATCGTTGATGAGTAACAACTAAAACAAATGTAATACCTGCTGGCGATCTTTTTATATTGTTAATCGTATCACAAAGCGATTTTTATCGCAAATATTATATTTTCGTTTACATGCTGCGTAACATTGATTTTCAATTTTAGAATAGTAGCAATTCGTAATTAATATAAATGTTTTTTAAATATGTTTCTTCACTCAATGCAATGCGAATGTTTATATATTGCCATTATATTTTTCCTTCAATTACAGATCTTTTAATAATTAAATATTAATGATGATAATTGTGATTGGTTTAATATTGGATTAATTAATTAAAAATTCGATCATTCTTGTGTATTTTTTAATAAAAATTTATATATATATATATATATATATATATATATATAAACTTATAAAACTAAGCTAGACAAATTCAGATATGCTGCAGTCGAGTTCACAAATTTTTTGAAAATTTTTGTTACTGAAATCATTAGAAAATTATCGAAACAAAATACTCATAGAATATTTGAACACTGACGGCATTAATTTAACAATAATGATATAATAAAAGTCATTGGAGATATTTGGAAGATACACATTATTATTACATATATATGTATTATTGCGGATTGAGAATATATCCCCTAAAGAGCGATAAGAAACTAGGCTCTTCCTTGGAACCAACTAATTTAATATTATAGAAAAATGAACGATCAATCACGAAGTCTTGACTTTCTTGAATAATTTTGTAGAGCAAATTCATTCCTGAAACATATAGGATTTATACACGACAGAAATTATACACGACAAAAACAGATTCTTGTTGAATTTCGTTTACTGCACTTGCGAAAATAAAACATACACAAAACAATTAAAAAGAATATGTATTTTCTAAATACAAATAATAAAAGGGACAAAAGGATTAAAAAATACAAATATTAGTGCAAAATAAACATAAACTAATTGAGAAAAGAAAAATCTTAAAGAAAATAGAAAACACAAAAGCGGAATAAAAATTTTAATATAAAGAAAAATTCCTATAAGTGAAACGAGGCTTAAGAAATCCTTAAGTAAATTTAGTTGCAAAATATAATTTATCCAAGAAATAAATCTGTCCTGAATTTTCTCATTATTGATCTTAATTATGCACAAAGAGATATTAACGAATGTTAGATATTTATTATAATATATAAAAAAATAACATTTCTGCAATTACATTTAATATTTTCCACTTGCAATGCAAAAACAGTATTTTTTTCTTCAATCTTTAATTTGTATAAGGAATTAATTCAAATGAATAGCGAGAAAATTAAAATAATACAATAATAAAATTCTGTTTTTCTCACGTAATACGTGAGATTTTATAATTTATTCAAATATAAAAGGAACGTCCATCATATTTATTTGATGGACCATTATATTAATAATTTATATTTATATTTATTTGATAGTCCATTATAATTAATTTTATTTCCAATTTTATTCCTTATATACATAATTATTTAAATATCTGCATATTTTATATATGCACAACTGTACGTATAGATATTGAATTTATATTTACATCGTTAGTAATCCTTTTATTTTTCATTTCAATTAATTCCTACATTTCTATATGTTATTAAGTAATTTATTAAATAAAAATAAAGCATTCATTCATTTGGATGACGGGCGTGAAAATTCGTCCAGTGAATAAAATCAATGGATTCGAGTTATCGATTTTATTGCCACGCTGCGCTGCTGTGATGACATATAAAAATGGGTGATTAACCGAAAACTCTTCAGATCTTCTAGGTGAGATTTTCATTCTTTTTAAGACTCCTGCAACTATCATATATACTTATTTATATTTTTATTTATCGTACATATATTATGAATGCAACCATAAGTATAGTGCATATCTTATAACTCTAAAGTCTTTATTTAAATTTAATTTTTATTTATTCTATAATATTATACGAAATGTATATACTATAGAAAAAATAATAAAATAAATTAAATAAAAAATTGTACGTGTGTGTAAAAAACTGAATGTATAGATTAATATCGAAATCAGAGCAGTGTTACATATAGTATAATGAAGAAAGAAAAGAATATTGTTAATCTATAAAAAGATATTGTGTTCGCAGTATAGAATTAATCACATATGTATTTTCTAAATTCTTTCAAGTGAATCTCATTCCAAAGAATTTAGAGAGTACACATACATAGAAGCGTACACATGCATAATACACATAGATTATTATTAAGTTTCGTATTTATCATTCGAAGATCCAACAGGAATAATACATATATAACAGCAATATGTATATATACTTTTTAGTACATGTAAAACACGAATGAATTATTACGTGCAATAATCTACATGTAATCACTGGTCAGATATATTAATAAATGTAATAATTTTAATGCCAGGATTAGTCGACATAATAACTTTCTTATTTTAAGTCAGTTATATCTCAGGTGCAATAATGATTCCGGAAAGTAGTGTTAATATTCGTCGTCTTTTATGTTTTTTGGATTTGATAGATTACGGTTAAGTAATAAAATTGATGATCGAAATAGAATATTTGTCATCGTATTCTTCTAAAGAAAACATCACCAACATCATTCTTGAAAGAAAAGTGTGATGCTAATGGAGGTGAGAATTCGCTGCTGCGACTCCTTTTTGCATTATTAAACAACAAATCAAATTGTTCGTATAATCATGCTCGTAATTACAAACTAATAATATAATAGAGACAAAGAGAGCTAAATATGCATCAAAATGAAGAACTAAGATAATAAATGCATTTCAGTCAAAACTTTTAGACATTAATTTGTATTTCAAGAATAGAAAGATGCATTGCTAAAATATTCAATTGCTAAAATATTCAATTGTTATTCACAATTCGCAAAGCAAAGTTTTCATTAGGAAAGCAAATGAGTACGATTAAAAACAAATTTCAATGTATATATTTCATGTATATTCAAGATTCAGGTTTTTTGCATAAATGCAAAAAAAATATTAACGACATGTAACGTACACATGTTATATACAAACGAATTACTTTTTTATTACATAAGATATATATGTGCAATACACACATGTAAACTATTCCTGTATTATTCACAGACTTTGTGAATTTTATTACACTTCTTCTGTTATAATTGAATTCATATAATCGACATTGGGAAGAGAACTGGAATCTGTTTTCCTGTAAGATCACCCTATCAATAATAGCTACCAAAGAAATATAAGCATTAAGTACATATATTTTTAACAGAAAGAATGAAAAAATACTATATTTAATATTTGTTTGAATAGCCCTAAGTAAATATTTACTAAACTTAAATATATTTATTTATTGTAAGTAAATGTTTACTTAGTACTATTCATAGAAATATGTATTAAAATTTAATAAATTTTTTCCAGTATAGAAATATAATATAGAAATATAGTATAAAAATATAGTGAAACAGAGCTGCAGAGCCCACTAAGCTGCAAATTATATTGTATTATTTTGTTAAATCACGCTCTTAATATTTATATATACGTATATTTGCGTAGATTTATGATACCGGATATATGTTAATTAATAATCAGATTTGATTATGTATTCGGAAAACAATATTACAATGTTATTTCCTGTTCGCGTATCGATAGATTTGATGGCATAATAAACTGGTTAATCGATCGAAAATTGCAGTGTCTGCAGTAGTAATGAAATATTCGTATAAACCTGCTATTTTGAAATATATTAGTTATGTAATAAACCCGCTATTTTGAAACATATTAGTTATAATAATGTGTAAATCTATCAGAGAATTTTCATTACGAATCTTCATGCAGTGCAATTTTTTATTTATAATATCGAAAGTATATTGAATTCATTAAATATATTTTGATTTATTATTGATTTACAAGCAAAAAAAAATATAAGAAATTTGCTTCGTAACGAAAACGTAATAATTAACATTGACCATCGTAATATTAATTATTGCTATGAAATACAAAAAGTGCAACTGTACGAAATACAGAATGTGCACAGTATATTGCAGTATATTCCTAAATTGGACAAAGTAAACAACTCATTTCAATGAGCGCAAATTTGCGAGCAGTAGATATACAGCGACTAGTATATAAATATATTGATATCGATATATAAACTAAAAGTGGAAGGACGAATGATGATAAACGATTATCAACCAATTTGCATTATGGATTATAAACGAATCCGTTATATAATGGGATGACGTCTCCGGATTTTCTGTCTATCTTGATGATATGATACACGAATGGATGATCGATTGAGAATTTTTCCGGAATTATTGAGATTTTGTCCACAACGACGATCGCTGAAACACACGATTGATTTATCACATGCGACCCATTCACTCGTCCACTCGTATCCCGAAATCGTAGAACAGATATACAACATGCAACTGCAATGCTACGTAAATTTGTTACTGTGCAAGAAGAAATATAGAGTT